ACATTTTTCTTCGCACAGCCATTTTAGATGAGTGAAAGTGCTGGGGCAGATGCTGGAAAAAAAAGCTTTGAAAACTCCACTGGACCTGCAAACGACTAACAGTTCCATCTTCCCACAGTCTTCCGTGATGCTTTGCCAATATTTTACATGAGCTTTTTACAGTTCTTTGTGTTGAAGCATTTCTGACTGATTTCAGTGAAATGCATGTCTGCATGACTGGATATAAACTTGGAGACCGACTTCTTCAGTCCGACTTGTCCGCCTTGGTTGCCTTAGCAGAGTATTTTAGATCAGTATTTTGCTGTATAGTACCACCCAATGAGTCTAACAGTGAGGGTGCTTACATGCACTCAATAATCTGATCAAAGTTGGATTTCTGCAGTTTTCTGATTATTCAAATGGTCATGTAAACAGCATAGTCCGATTTCATAGGTTGGAGTAAGGCCTAGAAATCTGATTAAGAATTCCGATAAAGAGAGCTGCATTTTGGCTCAGTAATCAGATTTCTCAGTCCATGTGTACTCTTACTCGGATTTCTTTCAGATTTCTCAGCCTGCGCATGAGCGAAAACAGATTGCGGTACTGGAAATAAGCGAGTGGCCTTGCCGTGAGATGGCAGCACTTTTGGAGCGACACTGAAACCAACTACAAGCTTGACGAAAATGAAGGATTTTAATATTCTTTCATCTTCTAGATGATGTACGTTCATATTTTTAGGTAAAATGTTTTTTTAAAAAAAAGCCACAGCATGAAGTTTGAGTTTTACATTATGTTTACATCAGATCTTCTTCTGTGAGTTTATCGGCTGGTTGCAAAGTAGAAATCTGATTATTGTCTGAATCATGTAGACCTAGAGTTTCCCCATTGTCTGATTACTCAAGTGCATGTAAACGTGTTGAACTGATTACTGACAAAGTCTGGTTTTCTGCAGTTATCAGATTATTAAGTGCATGTGAACGCATTCAGTGTTTCTGCACAAGTCGTTGTACTGATTTTACTTCACATCAGCAATAAAGAGTTCATAAATAGCAATGGTTAGCTACTACTTGCACCAAGTTTCAATGCAGTTTGACCCAAATGTTTCCTAATACTAATGTTCATCTAAAATGATGGGACTGAGAATGTAAATGATGTTATTCCAAAGCAATGAAGTAAAAAAAATCAATTTTGACTGTCCCAGTACGTTTTGAGGAGACTAAGGAAATTCACTCATTCCAATATTTTTTTTTTCGATTCCCTTCATTAACATCTTTGCTAAGCCAGAAAGAGCGCTGCAATAGTTTTGCATATCAGGCAAACCTCGTGGGCGAGAAAAATGCACATGTGCCGAGTTTTCTCTCTCTCTCCATCACATGGCCCAGGTGTGCCAGATGTGCGCTGGTTGCCATGGTCCCATCATGAACTCCTCTTCCCGAGAGGCTAACCACTTCTCCACTGCCAGCACCAGCATCCTATCACCGCTTTATTCACTTAGAGAGAGCGACAGAGGGAGAGAGGGAGAAGAAGAGAGAATAGCAGCACATTTTGTTCTTCGGCGAGTTTCTGAGTGACTTTGCTGTCTGGCCTGCGTTGCCCGAGGCTGCACCAAAGACAATTCCCTTCACATTCCAGGCTGTTTCTCATTTTCACACATTCATTTGGAACAAGAGCGTCTTCAATCATCTTTCAATGCAAAGGAAAACACAGGCGGAGAAATCTTATTGGTTGGGGGGTGTTTTGTTATTCGCTATGAAACTTAATATCTGACACAGTTTTCACAGCAGATTGGAGCGTCTCAGACAAGAGAATGATATTTATTGCATTTTTGTCTCCTGGAATCTTTCCATTCAGTATAATAAAAGATAAATTAAGTTGTAGGACTGTGTGTGGCATGTATGTGCATGTTCGAGGATGTGCATCATCATTGTCTAGTGTAAACTAGACAGTCACTGGTTGCTGATTTAAAGATTGCAAAATGCCTTGAACAAAAGTCAGCATTGTGTGAGTGTGTGTGGCCATATGTTTAGTTGTTTGTGGGGACCAGATATTGCCCCCAAGTATGACAGGAAAATATGAACATTTTATATTGTTGCTGTGGGAACAAAATACAGTACAGGAGATTTTGGCGCAACAGGGACAACGTACATATTGTTCTATAAAAATGTAGTACTTGTTTTGACTGTCAATTTACGTTTCTCAGTGAATCGGTGATTGCAATTTGAATAAGGAACTGGGTGTCTGCAGATCATTAAAGCAGATCATTTGGCAGGTCATTCTCCACAACGGGGTTATATTAGCACTCAAGTTGCTTTTGTGTACAGGCAACTAGAATTAAACCCTGTGTGGGAAGTGAATGTACATCACTGTTAACTTGGTGCTAACATAACATTGAAATTGCCATTTAAATGCTAGCAGAAATTAACATTATCATGCACTTGTCAGCAGAGGTGCTCAGGCTACTTATGAAGTGAAACTTTCTGCATTAAACAGTACTAATTCCTGATATGCTCTGCGACACATCTATGAAATAATTGCCTCAAAGCAGCATAAAAGATTTTGCAAAATGTCTAATGTTTTATTATTTGAAATGGCAGATGGCTTTAGTTTGTGTCAAAATTTCATAACAAATTGATCAATTTAAATGGTCCTAAATGACTTGGTAAAAACACTATAACATTAACGTACATTAAAAGTTAAGCTGTGTTCTATCTTTGTTCAGTAAGTTCCCATCATGGAGACATGAGGCAAGATTTTGTTATGATCAGTGACAATATATTCCAGATTACTGTTGGGTTGTTTAGCTACTGTAATATAGAAGTCAATGAAAATTGTTGGAAGGAGAGAATTACAGATGTGCATGTATTTATGTGCATTTGTGCATGAGTGCATGTATACTTGTCTTATCATTTTGCATCTGTAGCAGTTTGAGAAGTGGTCACAACACTTTTTACACTAGAATTCCACACCACTTTCACACAAACCAGTTCATTTGGGACAGCAAGCAGCTGCATGTGCTCTTGGCCCTGTTGAATGGTGCAGAATGTGTTCCAACGCAGTTTGTTCTTTTCAAAAATCAGAGACTTGGAAAACACCATAATTGCTCTGTGCTGCCACGAGAATTTGTGAGCTTGCCCCACACAATAGTTGATAAATGGTGGAGTTATGTACCAGCAGGAAACGACTTCCACTGTCAGTCGTCACTTCTTTCTTGTTTTGATTCAAAAGTCAATAAACATGCACACATGCACCCCAGTAGAGCGCTGCTTGAATGGAAGGCGCAGATAAGGGGAACTTCAACAATGCACTTGTAACAGATTCCCTCCAAAAAAGAAAAGCATCTAGCATTTTCTCCTAATCACACCGCGTGAATCCTCTCTACACCCACTTACACCTCCCTTCTCTCTCCCTTCCCTCTCTCTTTCTGCCTCCTCCCCCTTCACTTTCTTTGTTTCTTTTTTTTTCCACCAGTCTTCCCAATAGCATGCTGAGCGCTGCTCGGCTAATACAGCACGATTAAGAGTCTGTAACATTAAAGCCATTCCAGACGTCTGAATTCACCAAGGCGTGGGGGGGGCGGGGTCCTCACAGAAACAGAAATGTTTATCTTTGCAAGTTGAACATCTTGGGACGCCATCATGGCAGTAGAGATGGAGGGGAAGATAAGTGATGGGGACTAAGAGGTCATTGTTATGAAGTGAATGGCTGTTTTATTATGCTGTTTAGATGGGGTTGAGAGTGCGTAGTCTGGGCTGAGTGGCGGGATAAGATGGCCATTATGTGGATAACGGCAGCTGCTCTGAGCATGATGTAATGAACGTTATCTCTCCGGGTGGCTCATGGTGTCTTGTACATTAGTTTCCTGCAAAATGGTGGCAGGTTTTTCAGTGGGGACGTCTGCCAAAAGACCTAGACCTAAACCTGTCATTGCTCTTCAAGGCAGCTGCTAACATTTGGGTACACTGTAGTAAATTACAGCTTATAATCATAGGTGCGAACTGAGGTGTTGGGAGGGGGTGGGGCAAGGGACATATTCTCGCCCCCCACTTCTTGCAAGTATGAATGTAAGATAATTTTTGTGGGTTAGCAGGATGGTTGTCGACTGTATTATTGATCAGATTTTCCACAGCAGTCACATTGCCCTTACAAATGTCATTACAAGCTAACAGAGGGTGACTGTATAAGTGAAAATGGGTGCACTTAACTGTTCCAAAAGGAGTCTGTGTCAGCGCTTTGTCAAGCAGGTAGCCTACCAACTGATTTCTCTACCTTTTATGTGTATCAACCTTACGTGATCATTCTCTAACTACCAGAATGCACACATATGTAATTCCTGTTAATAATACTGTTTTAATATTGACAAATAAAGCATTACATATCCTGAGAATATGGTTGCTTTCTGTACTTTTACATAGTTTTCCAGACAGGTTTACATAGAGATAGCATGTCAGTATTGATGGGTATTGGTGTCAGGCCAGAAAATGTTTTTCACTACAGATTTTAAAAATGGTGTCAGAAAAGAAATTGTTATCATGCTAGGTGCTAGCATTGTATAGACACTATAGCTGCACAATGGCCCCACACTTGTCAGATGAAATTTGTACCCCTACTTATAAAAATATCTTATTATAATAAAATAAACACATTTCGCTTTGCTGATTAAGGCTATGTAGTCGATTTAAAATAGACGTCACTGTAAAATGAATGCTAGTTTTATTAGGTCAAAATTAAGTGATTCATCCCACAACACTGAAAGTGCTTCCAACATTGTTTTCTACTTCAGCCAACAGCTAGAAAACTTAAGTTAGCTAAGCTAAAGAAAAGAGACACTCAAGCTATAGAACAAGCAAAAAAGTGTATACATTTTTTTAAGTTCTATTTGAATAATTTTTATTTGTATTTTGTTTTTATTTTGTGGAGGATGATTCTTTGTTTCCTCTGCTGACCAGCTGCCTCTGCCTGGGGACAGTTTGGGTATATATATATATACGAAGCTAACGTGCTGATGTCTTCTGTTCCCTCAGTAACCACAACGTTACCTCCAGGCTCCGGCCACGCCAGAAGATGCAACGACACAGAAAAGGGGTACTGCGTGAATGACGGCGAGTGCTACTTCATACATGGTATAAATCAGCTCTCCTGCAAGTGAGTTCTTCTCTTTTCTCTCCGTTCTCCTGTCCCACAGTTTTATTATGATGGCCCACTTTTTTGATGATAGTTAACCGTGGACCACACTGTTCATTCCACATCTCTCTCTCTCTCTCTCACTCTCTCTCTCTCTCTCTCTCTCTCTCTCTCTCTCACTCTTTGTTTATCTCTCTCTCACTCTGTTTCTTTCTTCAGTTTATACTTAGTGATCTGCCATTGTAAATGAATGCTAATTAATCTATTTATCACACTCACTCATTTGCTGTTATTTTTAAATCCATAACAGAATATTTGCATATATAAATATAGACATGTATCTCTTTATTTACAGTTGTGTAAAGTTTTGGCTCTTCTCAGTATGATAGGGATATTCGGAAGATGATTAAGAAGTAGTCGCTCTTGTTTAATCCATTGCTTTATTTGGAGTACACAGCCTCTTCAGCACAAGCCAAATGGTATCCATCAAACCATCCATCATATCCTATTAAGCCGAGCCCCCCCACCCCCCCCCCACAACTTTCACTCACCATCATGGGTCTTTAGCAGTACCCCTCCATCTCCCCCTAATCTCCAGCTTGTTTGGGGCGCAGCAGGTTGACTCATTGGTGCAGATGTTGATGAGTGTGATTTGTCTCTCTCTCTCTGTGTGATGTGCTTGGGGAAGAAAAGATGGGCATCTTGGCCCACGCTGACAGGCTGCATTTAGCGTGCTGGAGGGAAGCGCACGTCAGGCCACTCCAAAATGCCATGTCACACTGGTTTAGAGCTGGTGCAAATATTTACGAGAGTCTGAGGCCTCCCACAAGGTAAATAGGGCCGTTGCTTACATTTCACTTTTGGAAGGGGGGGACGGCTTTCGCACAGATGCTTTTAGGATCACCGAGGACATCTTGTTATGAGCCTCAAAAACATTTTGACCCTTCTTATGAATATAAACTACAGCTGACTAAGGGGATCAAGTAGCTTTTGCTGGTGCAAGATGAATGGGGTCTGGTCCAGGGTCTGGGCCAGATCCAGAAGCACATATGTAAATGTATGTATATGCAGTATATATACAGTATGTGTCGTGTGTGTCCATGTGCACATTTGCACGGCTGCTTGTTGATGTGTTTTGGTGGGAGAGCTCTAAGAAGTCTTAGACCACAGGCTGTGCCATGTTATGAGTGCACCTGCTGGTATTTTCAGCCCAGCTGCAAATCTGTGCATGTATGTGCGTCTGTGTGTGTGCATATGCGTGCTGTGCTGGCCACTGGAATACTGCTCGGCAAGCAAGCAGCGAGGACATGGCTGCAACAGCCATTCAATAAGCTGTGTACAAATTGGAGGGAGCAATAACTCAATTGGTGCAGCTAATTCACTCACGGGCGAGGCACGGGTCCAGAAAAGTCAGATAATGCAGTCGAGGCCTGCAGGGAATTGTTGCCCCAAAGCCATCTCATTCAATATAGGCCAGGCTTCCGTGGGTATTACTCACCGGCCGAACAAGTCCCGCAGACAGCCTGTCTCATATTTATGCCCTGGCTTCTTTCACTTTGAAATATAAAGTTCCACAGAGGATGTGGCGAGTAACGGATGACCCCAGCAGTAATTATTTGCCTGCTGTAAAGGTGGAGATGTGTATTTCATGGCGTAGCATGTTGAGGCTGCCACGTGTGGACAGTGTTGTCACATTGTGTGAAGATAACGAAAAGACAGGAGTCGATGATGGAGGAGATTCATGGTCCAGCACCTGGGGATGGACTGCACAGCCTGTCTGATGTGAATATATCAATGGCTCTCCTCCACATCAATAAATCAGAGTTAAGAACAAAGCATGATGCTTATTATTTCATTGTATATGCTGAGCATTAAGTACTACTGTAAAAAAGGACATTACCCCAGAGTACATATATGGAAGTTCTTTAGACTTTTTAAAGGTTTTTCACACTCACACATCTCATTAACAACAATGAATTATGTATTGAAAAGCTTTAGGACACCACAAGTGGTTCTTCCATGGTAATGCTCCATAGAACCCTCTTTGGCACCAAGTAGGGATGTGCTTTTTTTATTGTTGTGCGTAAAAAGGAAACATTGAAGGTTTAGCTTTCACACTTAAACAAGATGGTTCTCCAAGGGTTCTTAGTAAAGGCAGTGGTTTTAGAACCATGGGTTCTCTATAGAACCATTTCATGCTTAATAGTTTCTTTGCATGGTAAAATGGTTCTTCAGATTAATGGAGAATGTGATGCATATAGCACCAGTAAGGGTTCTGTTATGTTAATGATGTCATGCTTGTATGTCTATGTAGAACCATATGCAACACATTTTCCGTCAATCTGAAGAACTATTTCACCATGCAAAGAACCATTTAAGCATGAAATGGTTCTATGTAGAACCCATAGTTCTAAATAGAACCATTGCCTTTACTAAAGAACGCTTGGAGAACCATCTTTTAAGTGTGTTAATTTATTGCATGCAGCTAGCAGAAGAGGTACCAGGTTGTTTGATGTTTGATGTTTTTTGGCTGTATGTGATCTAACACACCACCAGACGATCTACAGAAGATAACTCAGAGTAGCTTAACTTACACTGTACAAATTTGTCATTTTTTAAATGTTCTGCTTATATGTGGTTTGCTTTACGTTAGACACAATACCAGCTGCTTGTGTCCTGATTAGAAAATGAATGTTTTATTTCATTTTTAACCTAAACTACACATGCCTTATTTGAATACTCAGTTGTATAAAAACATAGAATTAACAATGCCCATCCCTACATCCCTATCCACTCCCCTAATTTTACCACTCTTACATGCAGGTGGTGAATTAAAAAGTCGAAAAGTAGATTTTCAGGGCTCTGGGCAGAGTTAGGAACTCCAGCTACTTTAACCCCAGCTGCGTAATCTTCGGTCCTGATTGCAGCAGACTGTCTGTGGATCTTGTTAGTGCATGGAGTGTGTGCTGACGGAATGATTAAAGAATGTGATTGAATCAGAGCAAGAGAGTCAGAGGCAGGACACAGACGTTTCAGTGCTTTCTCTCATTCTCTTTCTCTGGGTCAGGACAGACGACTCCTCATTTCTGGGTCAGAACGCTGCTCCTCTGTTCTTTTTTTGTTTTTTACAGTGCTGAGTCTAACACACTGTTAAGGTGACTCAGAGCAGGGTGAGAGACTGTGTTCACCTTTGCTATGAGTGCATTTGATGAAAGCTATACCTTAGCTGAATGCCCTGTGATGTATCTTCCCGCTCGCTACTGGCAGGAATCTGATTTTGGGTGGGCATGTGGAAGCATCTATGTGCAAAAGGAAATCACTAAACTGAAATAAGGAAACTTTTTTTTGCTTTGTTCATTTATTTTGCATGTGGAGGCTTCCATAGTATACAGTTGTCTGCAAAATTTTGGGCATCCCTGGCCAAATTACAGGGTCAGGCTTACATGGATATTACTCACTGACTAAACATGTCCTGCGGACAGCCTGTCTCATAGTTTTGACTTTTTTTTTACTTTAAAATATGAAATTCCACAGATGGAGCAGCGAGTAACGGATGACCGCAGCAGTAATTATTTGCCTGCTCTGAAGGTGAAGATGTGTATTTCATGGTGTAGCATGCTGAGGCTGCCACACGTGGATAGTGTTGTCACATTGTGTGAAGATAAGGAGAAGACTCATGATCACATTTATGGTCCAGCACCTGGAGATGGGCTGCACATACAGTTGTATACAAACATTTGTGCACCCCTGGTCAAATTACATAGTTTTGTAAGTTAAAATAAATACACATCCTCTACAGAGAACACATTGCTGCACATTTTAATGCACAACTACTGTTTATTTGATGAATTTATCATATTGGTGAAAACATGCACACATTTTATATTTTATGCTTTTTCCCAATATGTTAACTTTCACTTAGAAAATCAACAAAACATAATTTGACTAGGGGTATTCAAACTTTGGCATGCGATTGTGTTTTTAAAGGGGTTTTGAAAGTTATGGGGCAGAGCTACAAGAGGGAGTGGAATGGAGAGGTAGAGACAGCAAGGAGAGTAAGCAGAAACAGGAGGGAAAAAAAGAAGCGAAGCATGGAGCGTCGCTAGAAGCACTCAAGCACTGTCCAGGCTGTTGATGAAGTGGACAGGTGTCCTCATAAAGATCAGTAAAGCCTTCAAAGAACTCTTGCCAAAGCTTTGGCCATCTACGCAAGTCCAGGACTCTCTCTGTAAATAATTTCCAGCCTTCCTTGCGCTCTGTAACCTGGGGTGAGGGTGAGGGGGTGGAGAAACAAACAGCAGACAGGCAGACAAGCTAGACCTTTGGCAAACAGATGTAAAAAGCGTGCCTGACCCTTCTTCAGAAAAGAAAGGAAGAAGATTCTCGAGGGAGGACACAGTGGAGGGTGGGCGCAGAATCCCAGAGGCACTGGGCTGAGAAACACACGTGTGCACGCATGTTGGTTGCCTCATCTGTGTGCGCTCCAACAGGATTACTTTGTTTCCATGACCTTTGGCTCTTTCAGCCATGTACCTGTTACTTAAAACATGTCTGCATTGTGGAGGGGGAGTAATACTATCCCAGCTTAGGCTGCCAAACTGCTCACCACCTTACTGCTTGTCTGTATGTGTGTGGTGTTTGGGGAATGGCTGAAGTTCAGCACACCACTGCTGCCTCCACTAGATATAGACAGTGCGAGCTCTTGGTGTACCAGACCGTGACATGGCTCTAGAGAAGTGCTTCATAGTCCTAGCGTACCCCTGCCCTGCATACTTTGGTGGTCAAACTCACTTGATCCACTGAATCAGCTAATTAACAAACCCTTCTCAAGGTGCACAGTACTGTGGAAAAGTCAGAGACCAGTCATTTACAGTTAAAACTGCTATTAAATACAAATTCCTTTTTCAGGTGATATTTCTGGGGAAGTAAGAGCTTACCTAGATTACCTAGAGATTACCTAGAAGTGTCTATTTCATGGACTTTACTGAAAAATTACAAGTTCTTACACCTTATATGGATTAAGCTGGTCCTGAAGTACCCTTAACCTGCACATCGTCCCTATGTGGGTTCCCTGGTGCTCCACTACACCCATATTAACCCAGAAAGGGCTTGATAATTAGCTGATTGGTTGGATCAGGTGAGCTAGAGAAAGGAAAACACCAACATATTGTCGCTTTCCAAAAATAAATGTGTATCTCATTTTTTTTCCACATCATTTGAACACAGTAGCTGTCTTTTACATTGTTCAAAATAACATGAATGTTGGAAATGCTCTGAAGTCACTTGGAATAATACCTCTTTACATTAACTTACACTAAACGGTTAGAAAGTTTTTGCCTTTTCCTGGAAAGTTACTATTTTGGAGATACATGTTTTTCTTTGGGCAGCAATAATATAGAGAAAAGGTTCACATCAGGAACAAGGTCCTGAAAAAGAACTTTGAGAAAAGAGCTTAAGGTGTCATCCTCACCTTTTTATCACCAAATAAAATCATTGACCATCTGAAGTCTTTGTATGTGGGTTACATATGGCGTATCACGTGCTAGTCTCGCACATCTCAATTCAAATGCTCCTGAGCGTGCCCTAAGAAGTGCGGGCCAATTGTAACAGGGCCTTGGGAGAGGATTGCTGGACGGTAAGTGGAGCTGCAGCCTCCTCCAGCCCTCTAGCTCTTCTAGCTACAAGAGGAGGAGGTGCAGCAGATCTCTGAGTGATGAGAGATAACATGCTTGCGCTTTGTGTTTGTCCTGCAAATTGAGGGGGTAAGGCACCATTCATCAGTGGCTGCTGACTACGGCATCGCTGACTGAGTAGAGCAGAATTAGCGCTGTGAAAACATTAGCCCCATAATGCTCATTATGCACTGATGAACACTAATTTGTTTACTGGAATAACATGAATAAGCATAATTGGCCATCAAAGCCATGAATGAAAATCATGTCAGAATCACAGAGTCCCAGAACCCGACATGGCTGCACTTCGGCTCCGCTTTAGCTTGAATTACACAGATTCTGCGAAAAAAAATGTTACCGTTTTATTCCACATCACTACACTCTGCATGTTGCCAAGCATATTAAACAAATAATAGGCAAAAAATTGATTCTGTATTGGATTAGCCTCTGACCCACATCAGTGTGCAGGACTGTCAGTGCGTGAGAGCAGATAAGGGCTAAAATGTGTAATATGTGGATGTTTTTGTCATCTTGTGCCCCTCTCCTTCCTCCCAGATGTCCACCTGGATACTTCGGGCCACGGTGCTTGCAGCCAGAGCCCCTGCGGCTGCAAATGCCCAAACCTAGTGAAAGTATGTTGACTTGAGAAGCTGAGCTTCACACAGAGGAGTGGTGTCTCACTGGTACCACTGCTGCCCCTCCCTCCTCTTCTGGGCCTCCACAGTGGTGTCAGCAGTGGGACACTTCTGCCTCTGCTGTCCATAGTGCTACTCTTGTTCTAATTCCATGTTTTCTCTGCTTTTTTCTGTCTTTTTTCCCCCTATCTCTCTTATGCCCCTTTTTCTTTTGTGTTTCTCCTCTCTTCATGGTGCCCCTCTTTTCTTCCTCTTCTTCTCATCCTCCTCTTCCTCCTCCTTCTTCCTCCTCCTATGGTTTTGTTTCCTTCCATCAGGTGTCCAAATGACTTTACTGGCGATCGCTGTCAAACCTACGTTATGGCCAGTTTCTACCGTATGTCCATTTCTTCTTCTGTCTGTCAGTGTTGCATGCTGGAGCTGGAAGTGTGGAATGAGCTCCTTGTTGATAGTGGATGCTCTGCTACATGTTCTAACAAACTGAAATCAGTATGTCGCCCCATTGAGTTACAGATTCACCCTCCATACCTTACCTTTTAATGAAGCATTTTATCAATCAAAATGTGAAACTGAATCATTAGTTAACATGATAGATCATAAGCATGGTTCCTAATTTGACTGCATGCATTTCAGTGAAGGTGAATCACCTAATTTAATGCCAAACCATTATTAGATGCATCCATTTGTTGTGCTTTATGAAATGTTCAATACCAAAAATGTTTAACAAAGAAACTGCACTGTTGCTCAGTCTAAAAAATACAGTTAAACAAATAACCAGTACTTACTAACCGCAATTATAATGCTGTATATTCTATGTACATTTTAAGTAAAAACAAAAAGATCTACTTCACCAGGGACTGGACAGCTATAAATACATAGCACAAGTATTACAGTTAATCGTCAATCAGTGTCTTTACATTAACCCTTAATAATTGCTTGTTATCTTTAACAATAGCTCATTAACAGTGTATGTGATGAAGTTTGTGTAAACTGTAACTGACAATACACACCTAAAACAGTTAAAACAGAGTTATACAATTCTGAGTTTAGTGTACGTCTGAAGCCTTCTGATCCCAAATATGGTTATATCATCCACCCAAAATCTTGGGTACAAGGCTTGTCTTTAGCTTGAGCATACATGCCAGTGTTTTCAATGTCATCCCACCTGTACACAAAGCATCTCACAGAAGTGTGTCTAATTTGTGCCAATTAGACATGATCCATAAGCAAATGATTTTTAGCGGTTGGAAATTGCATTTGAAATGGTCATGACAGCTCCTTTTTTCTCACTCGCGAAGCATGAGAGTTGAGTGATACCTTAGCTGAGAAGCTGCCATCATTAGTCAAAAGAGTGGAATTGCATCTCTGGAGGCCAGGCTGACTTGATGAATCAAAAAATGCAAAGTAAGAGATTTTTAACAAGTCTTCTCAAGCCATTTTACTGGTTCAGTCAAGTTAATTTACATACAGTAAACCGTTCCTGCCCCTTCAGTCACTTTAGAAGCTCAAATATGCTCCCTTCAGGGGAATATCCCATAGATCCCCCCACCCCTACCCCCTGTGGTTCCAAGATCCTCCCCTTAATTACACTTTGGTATAGAAAAAAACCTCCTCTTCCCCAGGGTAACATGCTTTAACCACGTTACATGGCGGCATCCCTGCTGCACATGTCCATCAACTGTGGAATTACACCCAGATTAAGGAGGAGGCGAGGAATGGCTCGGGTCTGACAGTTCGTGGCCATGGGCTATTGGCTTCTACCTATGGATGCCCTTCGCACTGAACCAGGCCTTTGTGCTCCCATCAGCGTTGCTATGCTGGCAATGTTTACGTTTCAACATGACCCCTGTGTTAACACGTGTTTATTTGCAAAAGAACAGAAGATAAATCATAGGCGGATGTAAACAAAACCTTGCGAGGACGAGCTTACGGAGGTGAACGCGTTTCAGAACAGATTTCCTCTCCAAATAAAAGAATAAAGGAGGTATAATTTATGAGATGTTGTTAAGGAGGCACTCAAAATGGCACACGGCAAAAAGTATAATTTGACACAGGGCCTATTAACGTGTCATGTTATGTCATGATGTGGGATTTATCACTGCGGAATTGTTACCTTTGTTCAGGTCGCCTATCAAGTCCTTGCACGTCAGAGGTGCGTGGTTTGTTAGTGCTTGCTCTGTCAACAGCCAGCATTTCTTTCTATGCAACATAGTGTTGTTCAGTTTGGGAGGTCTAGAGAAGATTTCCAGCACGCAGGACACCCACACAGGAACAGCACTGAAATGGTGTACACACCTTCATGTTGGTGTCCCAAGCCACTATATGGCTTCTTATATATTATTATATTCTATAATAGTTTGCAGTAACGTAACATGTTGAGGATTAATCAGGTTTATTCTGAGGATACTAATATGATGTATACATATTTGTAACAATATTTGTGACAGTACCTCCTTTGGGAATTGCCAAAGCATTAATGGCGATAATAAATGCCCTGCACAATTCAATATTAATTATGTCTCACTTGTAGCACATTGAAACAAGTGGAGAAATTCTGTTGGAAGCTTTGATTCTGAATTTTCAGTCAGTACAACATTTGCTTTTTGAAACAGTAGAGATATTTTGTCCGGATTTAAATTTGATGACAAGACTGATGCATATAGTTTTGTTTTATAGAAAGAAAAAAATCCTTTTTTTGTCATTTTCAAAACAAATGAAAAAGTTATATGACTTAAATGGAACAAAATATATAAATATAAATAATAAATTTATATAAATGTAAAATTCATTGCATTAATTCCTATGCAGGGAAATTATTGGTGTCAAAGTTAACACACACCAGTAATGAATTAATAACACCTTAATGCAATAAATGATTAATGCCTCTATTTTTAGCGCTGTTTTTAATGCATTTTCCTTTTACCTTTTAAATCATCCATACCTCCTGCCTGAAGCCCAGCTGCTCGCACACTGTTGCTATGACTGTGCAATTGTAGCCCTCTCATTCAAGTACAGCTTTTAAATATCTCCAAGTTTCATTGATGGCTATCTTGATTTAAAAAAAAAAAAAGTTATTTCTGGCTACTGCCATGTCATCAATTTGTTTAGCATTGAAGCGCATGATGTCATTTTACAAGCAAAACACAAGCAATAAGTCATTTCAGTAACACTAGCACTGAAGGACGCCTTCAGCAGACTACGCTGGACAGTGCTCTGAGGAGAACTATGGATAAATCCACAAGCAGCAAACTAACAAAAAACAGCAAACAGCAAAATGAAAAGCTACAGTTCCCTGCAAAACAAGACGTGACCTAGTGCTGTGAGAGGGACATGGATTAAATTGTGGAAGAGTTGGAACATGCAGCCACTGTTGCTCTCACAGGACGTCAGTGATGAAAACTGGAAGCTCCATTCACATGATTTTCATGATTCTGGTGAAGAGTATTTTTCCACTCATACAGATTTACAATTACAGATTTTCTCTTTTTAAGGTTAAATTGAGCAAATAACAAAACAATGTAATTAATCACAATTATTCTTTTAATCAATTGACAGCCCCAAATTAAATAATTAGTTACATAATTATATTTGAATATATATCAGAACTCCCTACCCAACTCTCTCAACTTCTCTACTCGGCTCTCTACTTCTAAGCATTAAGTTCCAAAAGTTTATCAAACATGTTCTACATGATTCTGAACTGTTTTGTGAATGGGTTTAAATATAGCGGTGGCTCTCTGGAATGCAAATAGAGCTTCATCTCAATGGGAGCAGCGTGAGGAGAAGGCCGGTGGCAGCACTACAGAGGAAGACAGAAAATAAGAGCATCCTCCGTCTCTGTGTGAGCTCTGACTAATGAAACACAATACACAGAGCCGATGAGACATGATGTCACTTCCATGTGGAAGGCCCATCTGCATGTCTTAGTCCTCAGTGGCCATGCAGATGGTTCTGCGGGGAGAACATGAGGGCCGACACACCGTAGTCTAGATCTTCTGCCACTTCTCGCCGCCACTGACAAGGTCCTTTATGCCTGCCTGCCAATTAGAGCCATATCACGATATTAAAGTTCCCAAAAATGAGACAGTCTTGACATTGCCGAGTGGAAGCGTAAATGGCCTGCGGTTTCAGAGATCCCTCAGGGAGACAATGGCCTCAGATATACGGAAACACGTGCAGTGAGGTTGAGGAGGAGAGTGCTATTGGACTTAAGATCACTCTCAGACATCTGGGCCGCCTCAGCCAGCCAGGGCTATGGAATAGCATGTTGTCATGACAACAACGGGGATTTGCAGCAGCTCATGTTCAGCACATGAAGCTGTCCAGAGAAACGGTATGGCCCCAGTGCTGCGGCCCATCGACTCCTTCTCCAGCCATCCAGTGGGACTGGATTATTACATTGGATGTTATGTCACTTTGCTGTTCCACATGGGTCATGTTCAAATCGGTCCACAATCCCAGAGCCCTTCACAGGAAAAGGGTGACATTATTATGTCCTCATAGGCTACATCTGCAGTCCTGCTACATCTCTACAGTGGTTCAGATATGTGCTTTTGTAGTCAGTCAGTGTCGTAATATGATGAGTGACTTTGTTCATCAGGGCGCAGTATTCCTTAACACAGCTATGAATTATTTATAATAGACTTACAATGTTAGGTGAAATTGGCTATAATTCTGTCTACACTGACTGTTCTTTATACATACTGTTATAAAAAGAACGCACAAAATTGACCTATCCATGGTCTGCCAACAAATGCTTCACAGACCGCTAATAAAAACACCTTCTCATTAGAAATTGTTGCACACAATTAAGTTTGTGTCAAAATACCTAAACGTAGAGTTTGTTTTTCTCAAATGGTATTTAGTTTGTATGGATGTGAAAGAATAGTTCAACTGAATGTTAGTCTTTTTCACAGCTATAGCAGCTTTCAATGTTGTGTGGCTTATTTTTTTGTTGAATCTAAAGATTTCTGCCTCTATTTGCCTCTCCCTCACTCCAAGTAGTTTGACTTTATTGAAGTATTGAAGCAACATAGTACCACCTTTCTTAATGCTGGCATATAAAACATGGTTACTTTAAAAATGTATTACAGATTACAGATTACCTGTCGAAAAAAAAATTCAAACTAATCCAAAGGCTTGCTCTGTTAAGGTAATGTGGTCTTACTTTCCGATCCTATTGACCTACTTGACTTTAGTAACATAAGCAAAAACACGACGAAAACTATTTTAACAAGAGGTCTGTAACTTAACACAAGGCAAACAGTGAAACTGAACTGTGTTATGAAGCAAAAGGTATATTAATTTATGTATATTATAATTTGTTTGTGTTTTTTACCTAACTTAAAAGGCCTAACTTTTTTTTATTTTTGACAACATTAATTATATTGTATCTGCTAAAAGGCCTATATTGGTTCATAAGACTTCATATGGTGTGCAGCGCTTGGACTTGCCAATTGTGATGTAATTTGTAACTCAGCTCTTAGCGGTTTCAACAGCCCACAGAAATCAACATGTCCTGTGGTTGAAAGGCATTCATCTCATTCAAAATCTAAGTGGGAGCCAACTGTCTTAGTTTCATATAAAGATAATTTACACTTATTATAACTATGGTAATGTTAACTTACTTTAGGACGTCAGCAAATGTATTTGTAAATGTAAATTTATAGCTAGTCAAAGTGCTGAATTTTATGTAGCAACAAATAAAGGAGCTCACTTCCAGGTCAGTTTGCTGCTGTTTCTGGTAATATGGAAAAATCGAGCTAAATGCCTGATTCAAATAACTTTGCGTATATGCAGCTGATCTTAGTTCTGCCAGTAAACATAAAATACTGACTAAAATGTCTGTAGATTAGCAGAATAAAAGATTGTGAACTTCTTCAGAATTCTCTGCTGGTGCCCCTACCCCTAAAAGGCTTGATTTCATGACAAAAAATCTACCCAAACAAAACAAACACATACCACACTTCAAAATTAATACCACACTCTAAATAAAAAAAAATGTCCAAAACTTAGCTGTGCATGACAATTTCTCATTGGTTTGAATGACATTTTTTCAGCATTCTGTAAAGCTTGCCCAACCTCACAGCTATGAAAGAACACGTTTGTGGGTGGAGCATAGATAGATCCGTTTCCTTACACTTCATGGAGGGCCTCCTTGTACATGAAAGAAAGTTATTTATATCTTTCTCCAATAGTCGTGTGAATCTGAATAGAAATACATCAGTTCACTGTACCCAGAATGTCCCATAATATGAATGTAAAGACGATTTCTCTAAACAAACCACAGGAATCGCTCAGCCTGACACACACACACACAGACATGGGCACGAGCTGAACTTCCTAAGACAGGTTTTATAAACACAGCGTATGTGTTATGAACATAGTGCAGAGACATATTCAGGCTGTCAGTATGGAACAGCCTCGCACGACCACAGTGTTAACAGTCTTTACAGAGATATGTGCGCTTGGATGAGCAGTTAGGTTAAAATGGATGTGTATTGTCTTAGAATTTATCACGAGCTTGAGGGAGTGCTAATATGATATTATTATTAAGGGTGTACTTTATACCTCTGCTATTACAGTTGTAACTATACTTGCTGTCCAGGACCACTACAATGTGAAATCAGACTGTGCTAATTCTAGGAAAAATAACCGCAAAGTGCAAAGAAAACTGAGCTCGATGATACCTAACCATGATGTTGGTTTGCTAGTAACTACGTCCAACAGCATGTTCTCACTAACTGATGTCACGAGTTTACAGTTAACTCCCAAATGTAAGTCAGATTGTTGATGTCTGTAATTGTACGCTACAGCTGTAATTGCGCCCTACAGGTAAGATTTGTTTAAGAAAAATGCAAATGATTTGAAAAGTAACAAATGTACTTGCATTCTTGGATCGCTCTTGCATTTGCATACGGTGTAATTGCCTTGCCTTTAATGTGACATTAAACCTGACATAGAGAAAGTGTATGTTCTAAAATGAATAACAGTGGACATTAACGTTAATACCATATAACACATATAATGTTAACTACGTTAACTACAAAAAAAACTTATAAACAACTAACCAGAGTGCATTTCAAAATGTTTAACCCACCCTAACTGATGATTCCAAAAACCCAACTACCTGACTGACAGTGTATATGATGATGATCATGTTTCCCCCATAAGGCCTCATGGTCCCTTCTCCTACCTGTTAATCCAGAAATGCATTCTAGCCTATAGAGCAGCGTGTGGTGTGCTTGCCTGCCCCTGCATGCTCTAACAGCTCGCTGTTGACATAACTTTCAGCTGCAACATTGTGCCTCTCGCTGCCTGACTCACCCTGCTCATGTCTCCAACCTTCTCACGCCACTCACATAATGCTCATATGTGCCTACGTATGTATATCTTTCTCTTAAACTTTGTGCTTTTTTATCTCTCTTGTGCCCCCCCCTTCAACTGTCATCTTTCTGTCATGGCAGAGTCTCTTGGGATTGAATTTATGGGTATGGACCGTTCCTTCCTTAAGTAAAGCTGTTTAGACCCCTGCTGCCTTTGCCGTGCCTTCACCGTCTTCTCTCCGATGGACTCTAAAGCAAATGAACACATTGATTAACAAATCAATCTGTCCATCAGCCCTCGCTGCGTACAGCACAGCCTCTCTTTCCTGGTGTCAGCATGAGGATCTGTATCTGCAGCCCTCATCCCGTTGGGGAAAGCTTGACGGAGGGTTCAAACGGCCCCTTTGTCTTTTTCCTCGCTCTAAACGAACCCAGAGAAGATTTTCTCCCCGCGCTTACAAAGTGCTGCGTCAGAAGCAGTTTTACAGTCAGCAGGCTGAATCTACTTAAACGTTAAAGTGACACTTCAGCGCCTGTGTAGAACTGCATGGGAAGTTTTTTATAATCCCTCGGCAAAAGAAGTCATATGTAATTTTCTCTTTACTCAGAATAAAGTTGTTTAGCTAAAACATATTTATTGTCTAAAGTTGGCCTTGTTAGGTAGTCACCAGAGTTACAAGGCTAATGTGGCTAACAAGTAATGGAAGGGTATACCACAATAATTAGCATCATGCCTAAATCATCACATCCTTGCCTCAAAATGCGTCCAGTTGTTAAATAATCTCAAACAGACTTGCCTATGTGGTTTCCGGCATTGTAAGACTTAATGTTGTGTATGAAAATGACCAAGAGCATTGGTTGAGGTTGATGTGCGTAAGCCTCGGCCACCCTCTGTTTACCTCACAGTAAACATAACAAGTGGATAGCTTCAAGTGAATTTGTTTGTGTACACTAGAGTAGTGATAACACTGCTAAGAGCGCAATTACGTTCCACCTGGCCAGTTTAGATCCAAGTTGTGTCACCTGCTCGTCATCCTCACTCACGCAAGTCCCCTCATCAAAGCTTCCTCAGCCACCGTTTGATTATGCTATTAGACGTCATTCTTTTTAAAAGCCTGGCTTGTTTACCAAACACTAGGTAAAGTAAAGCCTGCTGAATTATACCTGCATCCTTTTTGCTTTGATATGGGAAGTGGATGCTGGACTGCGGCTTAACTTGGGTGAATTCCCACATCTTTCAAAATTCCTAAAAAGTGGATGAGTGCTGCAGATAAGAACCGGTTCTTTTCTGAGCAACAAGCTCTACACATGCTCTCTGCTCTTCTCTTCTTGTCTCATCTCATCTATTTCTTTTTTCTTCTTGTCTCATCCCGTCCCACCTTGTCTTTTCTCTTTTGTCTCTCCTCTCATGTCTCCTTTCTTCTCTTTGTTTTCTTTCTTTTCTGTTTATTTCTCTTCTCCTCTTTTCTCTTGTCTTCTGTTCTTGTCTCATCATGTCTTGTCTCTTCCCTGTGTGTCTTTTTTTCTATTTGTATCTTTTTTCGTCTCCTCTTCTCTTGTCTTCTCTTCTCTTCTCTTCTCTGGTTTTAATCTTCTCATCTCCTTTTTTCTCTTGTCTTAATCCTCTCTTCTCATCTCTTCTCTTTTGTCATCTCTTCTTGTCTCACCTCATTGCATCTTCTCTCTTCTCTTTTTATCTTTTCTGTTTGTCTCTTATTTCGTTGTCTTCTTCTGTTCTTATCTGTTGTCTCATCTTGTTGCGTCTCTTTCATTGATCTCTTCTTTTCTGTGTCCTTTCTTCTCTTTGTTCTTTTCTCTTATCTTCTCATCTTCTCTATTTGTATGTCTTCTCACCTCTTCTCTTTTCTCATGTCTTTTATTATCTTCTCTTGTCTCTTTGCCTCTTCTTTTGTTTGTCTCTACTCTTATTCTTCTTCTCTTCTCTTCTCTTCTCTTCTCTTCTCTTCTCTTCTCTTCTCCCATAATTTTCTCCGTACTCTCTGCCCTCTCTCTTTCTCCTCTATGCTCTTCTGCTCTGTCCTCCTATTTTTATGTCAGAGCACCTTTTCGCCGTTCTCTCCCTGCACCCCTGAGATTCCTGCTGCTGTCTTGTACTTCAGTTGAAAATTGGACACCGTCTGTGTTTTGTTTTGCTCTTCCTGATTTTATTTTCAGGCTTTCAAACCTGCTCTCCCATCCTCTGTCATAAATAGCATGCCAGACTCCATTAGCACGCTGTTTATATGACCTTTCTTGATTTACCTATTTTTTTCTGTTACAGCCTTTGTTTTCCCTTGAAAATGACCGGATGGACTTGAAATTATGAAATTATGTGTAAATTTGGGCTACCTGAAGAGGGGACTGAAGTTTAGAGATGCAGAAAAAATAGTGTACACAATTGACTCTGCAGAATTAGCCCCCAGAGCCCCTGATTCCCCTCTCTGGCTCTGCCCTTCACACCCACTCTGTAGTGTGGAACGCATCACAGCTGGATGATATCACTTTTAATTATTAGATGTTTTCCCTGTGCTCTTACCGTCCTGTAGCATTGCCCCAAACTGCTCTTCTGTTAAAGTCCATCTGACCGTTAAAAGGTTTATTTTCCAGGAAAACACAACAGGCTGAAACATTTTCTTTTTTTGTTTTGTTTTTTAAATTCAGTTTCTAGTTTCTTTCGATTTGTGCTCAAGTTTCTGCAAAGTTTATGGACAGTTAAGTGAAATGCAGTAATTGTAGTTGCTGTAATTAAAAACCTGTAATTAGCTTCACCACTTAGAGTCCTGACCTGCAACTCTGATTGCATATGTTATGTAATCTCCATTAATCTGGCTTGACTCGTAGAGTCATCTGTACTTGCGCTGGCCTGTGAATCGGCCTGAATCACGATGCCCTCCAGTGGATGGAAGCATTATATGGAATCAGAGAGGCAGGTTTCGTCAGGGCCTTCAGGGATTCCCTTTAGCATAGGCCCATCCACCCTCGCAGCCATGGTAATGATGCGAATTATGGCTCACACAAGCACTTTCCACTGCTGAGTTGGCCCATTAGAGATGAGCAGAGAGGCCTAGGCATGTTCCACTGCTGTGATTAACCCTCATCCCCATGCAGCTAATAAGTGTGTAGATCTCGCCTCCTCTGCAGAACCTGAATCTAGGTTCCTAGATAGTGCTCTTAGGGCCCTGGTTCTAGCAGGGCAAGAGCAAGAGGTGGTTGGGGCCAGGCCAGTGGTTTTGGTATTACAGCATGCAGTGGAAAGTGTTTAACAGGGTTTGGATGTGAGGAGATGAATAGTGGTTTTAATGGAGTGAACATGAGAAGATAATGACTGTTCTCTGGTTGTGCTGTGTGTGGTATGGTGCAGAGGCAGAGGAGCTGTATCAGAAGAGAGTCCTGACAATCACAGGCATCTGCGTGGCTTTGTTGGTGGTGGGCATCGTGTGTGTGGTGGCCTACTGCAAAACCAAGTGAGTACCACAGCAGCTTCACCTAGTCCGGTCAAAAATTAGTGAAGAAGCAAGTGTTATCGGGGTATAGTACCCTTGTACACTCTTAAAATGAAGGTTCCTAAATGGTTCTTGGCTTTGAGGTACTGTTCTAGGAATTAGCTTTTAACTGGTACAGAACCTTTACATTGTGAAAAGGATCCTCACACTTGCTCATCTCATTTACTAAAATGATTCTTTAAAGAAATTAAAAAGCATTTGTGGCATCACTCCAAGCAACTCTTTAAGTCCCTGTTTATTTTTAAGAGTGTACTGTGTCTGGGCTTATTTACATCCAGTGCTTATTGAGTGTGTGATATATATGAGTGTGATTCCGGGCTGGTGTCTGAAAGAGTGACGCTGCCTCACTATAGCCTCCCCCCCAGGAAACAGAGGAAGAAGATGCACAATCATCTACGGCAGAACATGTGCGTTGATCACCCCAACCGCAACCTGGCCAACGGCCCCAACCACCCAGGCCCCGGCCCTGAGGAAATACCCATGGTAGATGTATGTCCTTCAGGCCAGAAGTATACCCCATGCTGGTGCTCAAATGCAACTACTTTTAGCTTCACACATTCCATCTTGCATTCTAAAACATGTCAACTGAAAATGCATAAGCCGCATTCTGAAAGCTGCAGCAGTAGTCACTTTATATGGGATAAAATATTAAAAATGTAATTTCCCCAAATTACCATAGCCTGCATATAAATGTCAACATTACGCAAAAGGCACCATCCTCAATAACAATAACAACACGGTGCACGGTTGTGTCTATTAGCAGGTTTTCTTCTTACATGAATTTGATTCAAAATGGACTGCTATTACAGAGGGAGCACCAGGTTCAGCCAATTGCAGAATGTAGTTCACTCTGGAATTATTACTGTCAGACTACAGTCATTGCAGATTTGTACTGGATTAAATGCACCCCTTGAACTCTTTTTAATCTTAAGACTTAATAAGCAGCTACTGTGGATTATTCGGTTATGCTCCGAATTTAATATGTAAAGCATGTGGTTATGGCAGTTTGGAATTAAAGTGTCGGCCACATACAGGTCCCTAGGCTTTAGGAGGTCACAATATAGTTTCTCCCCAGTTGCAACATTTTCTTTTCTTTTTTCACCTGTGCAACTATTTAAGCAACACTCTTCAACCATTACATTTTTTTTTTATTGTTGTTGCTATTGCAAAAATAGCCAATACAGTTCAGAAAGACACTAATTGGTACTCTATTGCCCTCTTGAGTACTGAGATTTATAACCCCCATAGTAACGTAAGAACACATATTGAGTATGTAGTACAACAGGACTGTGAATTTGCAGTGCAGAGCATTGTCATATGCATTTCTGTACTTGCGTGGGGTATATTTCTGGCCTTTTGCCCTTTCAAAGTACTCTGCTTCAGTTAAGTCTGAATTTCTGTAGATCAGCTCTCCTGTCTGACAGCATGTGTCTGCCGGTTGCAGTATATCTCAAAGAACGTCCCAGCCACAGAGAGAGTGATCAGACACGGAGCGGAGGCGTCATTCTCCGGCAGCCGCCAGTCTTCCAGATCCCACAACTCCTCCACCCGAGCCCACTCCTCCACACACAGGTACGGCTGCCAGAGCATACTCCATTCCATCAGTGCAGCAGATGTGAGTGTATTGTGTGTGTGTGTGTGTGTGTGTACTTCGTGCCTTTGGCCCCTGCTCACCATGCACTGAGGTCATGCTCCACTTGCCCTTTACCTGTGTCCTATGTCTATTTTACGCTTACTCAACATTCCTTCCTCTCCGCTCCCCTCACCAGGCTCTAGTGTGGAATTTCAGCAAAGACTCCTTTTCCAGATTCAAAGCAGTTTGGTGTTTTTTACTTGATTTATATTAAATGACTGTTCATTTGCAGTTATTTAATTACATAATGTATTACGTAGCAGGCTACATAACAAATTACATTCACAGTGAATTCATGGCATGTAATTCATTACATGTTTATGTTAAATTTACATTTGCTGTACATTCTACATCAACAAACTGAGGCCTCCACTTCTAACTTTTCCATTTCTTTTAATGATGAAAAATGCCTTTCGTCATTCTATCTCTTTCTTTTCCTTCCTCTTTTTCCTGCTGTGTCAGACATGAGGAGAGAACATGGAGTCTGGAGCGGACGGACAGTGTGCTGTCAGACTGTCCCTCGGGCATGCTGTCGTCCTCCGTGGGGACCAGTAAGTGCAGCAGTCCCGCGTGTATGGAGGCGCGGGCACGGCGAGCCGCTCACTGTGGCTACCCTGAGCCCCACCGGCCGCCCCTGCAGTACGGAGACTCCTTCGACTCGCTCGGCGACTCTCCGCATAGCGACAGGTGTGCGGGAGACCCCCTTACCCTGTAGCTGTGGCACATACGGTGCATAGCTATCTAGCTATCTATATTGCTGAGCTATCTCGCAGTGATAACAACCAGAAAGATTCAGTGGCACATGCACACACACTGCTGACTGGAAATCGATTCTTAGATGCATCACAATTCTCTCTTAAAAGCTTATAATAAGACTTTAATATGGGTTTACACATCATTTTCCTTTTTTTTGTGAATAATGTCCACAGTACTAAACAATTCTTAGGAAATTTAGACCCTTTATTATGCTGTTAAAAATGAGAGGTCAGCTTAACTCAAAATGATATAGTAACTGATTACATGGCTTTTCTTGAGTCGGCTCAACTTGAGGACACAAGAGTTCACCCAGCTCAAACTTCTTAGTTGAGTCTTGATTTTTTAGTTCTGCATCTCAGTTAGGTAGATGAAACACATTTGTTTTTATACTCATTTTCACCCAGCCAGGATTCTTTCCATCACACAATCCCACTTGACATTTTTTTCCTCTTGGGTGCACAGTTATGAATGGCTATGGCATTGCTGAGGTTTAAACTTACGACCTCCTGTTTAGTTGATTGCTAAGTCTGCTGCACCACTCAAGAACATGAAAAGCAACTTAGATTTTGTGTCCATAAAGTTTGGGTGAACACTGGTGTCCACAATTTAAGTCAACTCAAGAAAAGCCACACAATAAGACTTCTCATTTTTACAGCATATATATTGTATTCAATATGCCATGAACACAAAAGAGTAAAATAAAAGTTAAAAAGATCAAATAAACATGCTGTTTCACTAGTTTGGCTTAAATCTATCAGATTGTGAAACATAAAGACAAACAGTGCTGGGAAAAAATATTTGCCCCCTCCCAATTTTTGAATATTTGTCACATGTGAATGTTTCAGACCATCAAAGTACATTTAATATTAGACAAATATAACCCAAGTGAACATAAAATGCTGTTGATGTTAAATGATGATTTCATTTACTGAAGGAAAAATGCTGTTCAGGCCCTCCTAGCCCTGTGTGAAAAAGTAATTGCCCCCTTAGCTACTAAATCAACCAGTTAACCAAATTCAGTTGACTATTGGGTTCAATTTCTCTAGCCACACTCGGGCATGATTACTGCCAGACCTGTTAAATCTAAACAATACTTAAATAAAACCTGTCTGGCAATGTGAAGCAGGCTAATTTGTTGGATAATCTGAAACATTTAAATTTGACAAATTAGCAAAAATCGACTAGCACTATAGGCCTATAGACATAAGAAGACATAAGCCATGTGTAGGCCACATTCAAATTCAGTAAGGTCATGCTACTTGCAGAGATACGAATACAGATGGATCATAGTCTAGGCTAGAAATTGAAAATCAAGATGCATAAAGAATCTTAATAGTCACGTCTTGGTACCCTGAATCAAAATAGAATCAAATCGTGAAGTGTCTAGTTATGCTGATTAAAATAATGAACAGCTGATGCTGTTTTAAAATCGAGAAACTAGTCAGCAGAAACAGTTAAAAACAGCTACCATGAAATAAAATCTTTATAAATTAAATGCAGAGAGCATTTTTCAGAGCTGTTTCTAAATATGAATTGTATCTGGCCTGAGTTTATCTAGGTGAGTTTTGGGGATTTTTATTCATCACTTTCATACTGTATGATTAGATGCTTCAACAGATTGCTTGCTGAGTTTAGGCTACTTCCCATGCTCGCACTGCACTGCTCATATTCACAATCAGAGTCACGCAGTCAGCTGACACACCAAACACGCACACGTGCAAATTATGTCCAAGAACAGGCATGGATAATACATACAGAGATAATTCATGATCTCAATGCATCATGCGTAATTTATTTTGTTATTTTCAAGACGTACAAGTAGTAGCAGTTTTGAATAAGACATTAACTGTAATGTGAATACAAAAATTTAAACTGTAATGGATTACACAACTTCATTACAAGAATACAAAGTGTTCACATCACTGTAATGCGTGCCTTTGTAGCATGTTATGCTCAACACTAACACACCCACTAACACACCCACTTCAGCTCAGGAGGAGTTTGTTAAATAGCTGATGAGTTGAATCAGGTGTGTTAGAGCAGGGAAAGCTTGAAAATTAGCAAGGATAGGGGCACTCCAGGACCTGGCTTGGGGACCACTGGGTTAGCGAATTCAGCTCCAGTGCACTGTGGCTCCAGCATGCAGCTGTTCAGGCTGGCTCTGAGAGAGGCTCAGTGAGGGTAGAGAGGTCAGGCTGATCCCGCTGCTTCACATTCACACTGTTTGTGCCGGAGCGCAGAAAGGAGCTAGCCCACGGCCAGCTGTATTTACGGTTATCTCTCGCCTGCAAGCCGCCCCCACCACTGAGCAACAGCCAAAACAGGAGGATTTATACCGTGAGGGGTTCATTAAGTCAACAAGAGCTGAACAACACATTATCTCAGGAGGGTTAGGCAGGTCTCTTGTGCACTGCTCTGTCCTCCCTCTCTTTCTCCCACTCCCTCTCCTCTCTCTCGCATGTTGCTATCTGCCCTCAGGCCCCCTGCACATCTGTGACAGGCCAGGCCAGTGTGAATTTATCTGCTCAACCTGATCTCTGGCCACCGCTCTCCAAGCCCTCTTTCCAATTTACACGACAGAGGCCACGTGATAAGACCAGATAAGAGAAATAGGATGTCTGCTCTTCCTCTGCCATGAAAGAAATTTCTCCTTCAGTGGTGTTAAGCAAAATTGGTGGGTCTTGTGGCCAAGTTTGATGTGACGGACACCTACAGGAAAGAGCATACATTGCTGAGTACTGGGCAGAGATCTTAGTATTTTTTTCAGCAAGTTAAGGTTTACTATTGTTTTTAATGTTGTCCATTTTTTTCTCAGCTAAGGTTTCCACCACAAGCTCAGTGGGAGGTCATTGTAATAACGCAAATATGGTGAAAAACATGCACAGATTGGATGCTTTGAACCAATCAGATCAGTGCAGTAATGCTTACTAAATCTAATTTATTTATAATTCTGTTGTTTAGTCTAATTTTATACAGTGTTTTTTTATAAGCAAAAGCACACTTACTGCCCAGATAAATACGTGTAAACTATTTTCTCAGGTGGCCTAAGACTTCTGTAAAGAACTGTACGAGTGGATCATCCATCTGACCACATGTTGCAGTTTACAGCGTGAAGTCACCCTATAGTGGTCGATAGTGGCACTGCTGATTTTCTTTAATCTTCGTTCGCAGTGGAACTTCTGATTTGCCAGTGAGCCTCTCAGCTGCTGGGCCTTAATGTGCACACTCTAATTTTCCTAGTGCGGCAGCAAATGTGGGAGGACATGTTTACATCACAAGGCAACAAACATTGCATCAACTTAAACACTGCAGACTTCTTAGAAGTTTTAGTGCTCATCACACGCTAAAAGCCCAAGGCTCATCTGTTAGTAATGTGTGTTTTTGGTGGGGCACTTCTCTTATTTTCTCTTCATGAAAACATTTGACTCACACTAGATGTATATGCTCCTTGAAAACCTCTCTTTCCAGCTTTCTCTCTCTCAGTTCTGGATCTGTGCTGTGTTGACGTTATTGAGAAAACTCAGGGCTATTATCCTGAGAGGCCTCAATATTTCAACCCTAGAGTTAATACTGTAATGTTGATATACATGTTGATATACATACATATAGATATTGATTTACATATGTAATTACATAATTATTTATATGTCATTACATAAAAAAATTACATAGACGTAATGAATGACATTTACAACAAGATTACATTGTGTATTGGCTATATTAATTATTGAGTACTGTTTGCTTCTGGACTTGTACTGTACTATTTGTACTACACATTATAGTATTCATTTCATTGTCAAGAAATTTAAAAATGAAAAAATATATATTTTTCCTGCAAAACAAGACTGTCCACAGAAAGATAACTTTGAATTGTGTCCATCTGCAGACCCAGATAGTCTGTAGCAGTTTTAGACCAACATTTTCACAGCATGATGTGACTTTAGAGTTGCTGCCAATGTTGTGTATACTATTAATAACGTGTAACACTAAATGTTGACATTATTATGTTCCTAAATAGTACATGGCCTTTTTGTTGGAAAATGATAAGGAAATAAATTATGGTCAATGACAGCTATTATATTCTTTTCAAACATTTTAAAATAATTGATCATAGTCTTTTATTATGAAAAATTGCTTACAAGCTAATAATAACTAGCTAACAGTAACCCTAACCCTTACCTATGATGACTAGGGGCCACAAACCTAAAACTGCACCCTGAATCTGCAGGTGTGGAACTGCTGCTGACTCTCTGGACCTGTAGATGAATGACGTTGATAACTTCATCAAATTCTCTATGCCCCTCCTGTAGGTACGTGTCGGCTCTGACCACACCGGCCCGTCTGTCTCCAGTGGACTTCCACTACTCACTGCCCCAGCAGGTGCCTACCTTCCAGATCACATCTCCCAACGCCAGCCACGCCGCATCCTTGCCTCCGGCTGCCCGCGCCCCCTACCCCCCGCCCCAGGAGGAGGAGGACCATCCGCTGCTGCTGCGGCGCTACCAGGTTCCCCTGTACGAGGCACAGCGATACCAGCCCTACCGTCAGCAGCATCAGCAACGGCAGAGCTACCTGCGGGACAGCCCGGGCAGCCTACCGTCCAGCCCCCAGCTGCCGGCCCAGGATGAGGAGTACGAGAGCACGCAGGAGTATCCTGCCTCATCTTCCTCACTGGAGCAACCAAAGAGAAGCGGCCGGCGCAGCTGGCGCAGGTCCAGACTGAATGGGCACGTGGCGCCAAGGGGTTACCGGCCGCCCCGGGACTACGGCTCGCGCAGCTGTCTGTCGGACAGCGGCTCCGAGGAAGAGGAGGAGGAGGAGGGCGAGAGCACGCCCTTCCTCAGCATGCAGAACATGAGCATCCCCGAGCCCTCCACCATCTACAGGCCCGCGCCCCCTGCGGCCTCAGACACGCGGACTCCTCACAGTGCCGCCGGATGCCACGCGGCCCGCTCCAGCACACAGGGCAGCAGCAGCAGCAGACAGACGCACGCGCGCTCCAAACCGGACAGAGCTGCCCACTAAAAGAGAGACAGCCCACCCTACTCCCCCACCCCCACAAAAATGTGTATAACTATAGACCTGCACCTATAAGAAATATTTTTATTTTATATAACTAACAGATATTCTAAACAAATGAAATATTTATTTTCATTTTAGCAAAAAAGTTGTCTACTAGTTATCAGCAAAGACTTTTTTATAGGGAAAACTCTATTTATATGTACATTTTGATTTACAGCATAAAAGAAAAAAAAGACGTGCCAATTTTTTCACAACTTAAAGAAATAGAGTAATATTGTGGTGCCTTTTGCTGTATGCCGATGCCAGAGGGCCAGTGGAGTTTTTTGTAGCCTTTCTTATACGGACGCCTCATTTTTTATACACGTTTACTGTTCTGTTATCTCTTTTTGGCCTTTTTTTTCCTTTCTGTTTTCCAGGTTGTGTTGTTTTGGGAGCTGACCCACCATTTGAGCTGTGACATTGCCCCCTCCCCAACCAATCACACACACGTCATGCAATATAAACCACTCTAACTTAAGGTGTATGTTTACAAGAATATAATTCATACAGATGTTCAATGATTATGTTGCTTTTCTAACAGGAGCTCAAAGACAAATGCAACTGGGGAGGGGGCTTTTTTTCCCTATGAAAAGGGAGAGAAGTGTGTGTGATTTGTGTCCGGATGTCAGACCAAATGTGTGTAGATCTGTCACACACCACTGCAAGGTGTGTGTTCAGAGAGAGGGAGAGGCCTAGGAGGGAGTGTGGCTTCTGAGAGTAATGCTGCTGTTGTCCAGCTATCAGATGTTTCACAGTACTATTGGAGCACTATTGGAGCTGGGTTAGTTTTAGCAGGGGAGGTTGTAAATTGTTTTAAGGGATTCAACTGGCCAATTCATGCAGTATAAAGTTGTTTTGTAGGTTCCCCCTATTACCAAAGATTGAATGTCATAGCCCAGATGTACGCAACTAGCATTACGCAACCGGTGCAGCGCTCAGGCTGTGCCCGAAATGGACCCCTTTTCCTTCATCATGCTCTGTAGAGGGAGACAATTTAGTTGACTAATTAACCACAAAAACACATGGATCAATAAATGAATTCAGACACTTCTTAATCAACCTGTATCAGCATTCACCAGTCGCATAAACAAGCCAACATCAGTTGCTTGTATCAGCAGAACTTTCTCCTGAAATGATCCTTTTTAAAGAAATGCCATGTCTGACTCTTGAAAAATAGCTGTAAATGTCCTGTCAGGCTATTTCGACCCATCAGTGTAATGCTACTAGACACAAATGGTAAGTTAAACATTAATGTTCTGTGGTGTTCACAAGAGATTGTGGGGAAACTGTAGTGCCCTCTATATCATTCTGTTTTACAAGTGAGACCCTTAGATATAGATGACAGTGCCCTAAAACACTATAGGGATCCATTTCAGTCACACTCTCACTAACAATAACAACACAGATCATGGCCATGTCTATTAGTTTATTACATTACACTGAGGTCAATCAAACAGGACTACAAATAATGAGGGAGCTCCAGGTTCATCTAGAGTCCTTATAGTTAAGTCTGTCCCCTCACCGGCTCTTGGCAACTTCCTTCGACACTTGTTTTCAATCATGCAAGACTGGGTTCCTGTATACTTGAATGGGGAGAGACCTGTAAGCCCAAAAAACTGCATAAATAATTGAATTGAAATGGAGGGTTGGACTTCTTATAATACATGAAGTAATACAATAATGATTTCTTAATAAGCTGTAAGTTATGAACCTTCTCCTCCTCTTCTGATGTAATGTCTTTGGTCCAGCAAAATACAGAAGGTAATTCACTCCACAATGATTACTTCTCAAATTAAAAACTACAAACATTGAAGATTCTTGCTGGATTAAAATCACAGATCTCATTGATAATCACTTAAGTTATAGCACCTCCCCAGGTAAAACAAATCCGACTCGAATGGGACTTAAGATTGCTGACCTAGGATCGTTGCCTTGTGTCAGGTTAGACCCCGAAAGGCAGAAACAGGTCCTAGATCGGCTGTCTGTGCAGAGAGATGCCTGGTAGGTGTTGAGGTTTTGGTGAGTGCTTACAGCTGCCTTGATTTCCTTTGCGTTACTTACAGCGTAAGGTTTGTCACTGAAGAGCCTTGTCAATCCAAAGGGGGATAGCGGATATGCAGTGGGGGGAGGGGGGTCTGCAGGCCTGACCTTGGCTGTCAGTACTAATGGCTTGTGGCAGATAAGACAGAAATAAAAGCGTACCATCCATTCAATCCAGCTTAGCCTTCCATTCCCAACCATTCATGCTGTCAGTGTGGCGGACAGAGAGCAAGAGAGAGAGAACAAGTGTGAGAGAGGGATAGCCACACCGTCTCAGGACTCCTCCCCAAAGCCCCAGCCCCATCCCAACCTCCCTCCATCAGGGGTCTGAAGAGAGAGAGGAAGACCCTCACAGGTTGATGGATGTGCCGGCCTCCCTCTCATTCCCTGCATACACACACAGGGAGAGGGAGGATGGAGCAGGATCACCTAACACACACTCACCCTCACACAAACACAAGACAAATAGCTGTGAAACTTCCGAGGGGTCATGAAAATGCCAAAATATGCAAACTTTCTATTTTGCTCCTGTTCGATGACATTCTTTTTTTTATTTTCTGAAAGAACAATAGTGCATTGTGTGGAAAACTGTGATGCCTGTCGTGTGTCTGAGTTTAGTTCCCCTTATTTCCAATCAATGAGACCACCAAACAGTGCAAACTAGCTTTAGAGTAAATTTATTATTATTGTTATTATTATTATTATTATTATTGTTATTATTATTATTATTATTATTATTATTATTATTATTATTATTATTATTATTATTATAGGAAACCATATAAACATTTTTTTTCATATGCAAAAATGATACCAAGCCATGGCTCCGCCTCCATTTTTGAAGCAGTCACTGTTACATGTTCACTGATGGCCGTCACTCTTAGTCCAAACCAACCAAACTTGCGAGCAACTGCACACAGCTAATTCTGCGTGAGTGAGAGGTCTTCTCTGCCATTCAGGACCTGTCACTGTCAGTAGCGTTGCTTGTCGTACACAAATTCATAAGCATTTGTTTTTCAATTGGTCACCATGGTCTAAAAACAGGCCACTGTCAACACATTGCCTCCTCATTTTGGAAGGTAAATATGACTTGTAAACAGGTCAAAAGTTGAAGGAACACATCACTGGCATAGATAAGCTAACACCAGACCCAATAAATGGAGGAAAATGAAGATGATCTCTAAAAAAGGGCGGCATGTACTTCCACAAGTTGTGATTAATCTAGTCGAAAAAAAAAATATAAAGAATTTACTAGGTAGGTCCTAAAACGATTCTATTGCAGTATTGTGACGGCACAAAGGAATAGAGATTTTCTAAAACTAAGACTTTTTGTTTTGTTTTTTTTTTCCTTGCACTTTGAAGGCCAGAATCTATTTGTTCCCTGCCCTGGCGTTTTTGGATCTTATTTGTATGTTTGAGAAATGCAAAACCAGACAGTGCTTCTCTAGTTAGTTTAAATGTGATATCCCTTTCCCCTCTCCAAACCCCTCTAGACTCTGACCGTTTCTGTTTCTACCGTTCTTCCTCTTGAGTTTTCTCCTCGCTTGAGAAGTTTGAACACCTCTCCTCTGCATGTCCTTGTGGTCAAGGTTAAATGGGTGCATGGTAAAAAGCAGCAGATGATTTTTTTCCCCCCTCCGAGTCGGTGAAAGTGTATTTCATTTACTATTCAGCAATAAAAAAAGAATCTTTTCCCCATGTCCATTCTTGGAATATGCTAGAAAAAAAGAAATACATGCCAGATTGTCATAGATTGTAAAATAAAAATTGAAAACAACAAACCCACGTCTTCACATGGAAAAATAAATCCTTCTTCGTATCATTTAAACTTTATACGTGCATGTCTGTGCTGTCCTGCTGTGTGTTTGTTCATGTTGTGGTGATACTGGAGTTTACAGGTGGTACAGATTTTACTGTCTGTTTGCATTTACAGCAAGAGGATCATAATAATGTTGCATGACCCTGTGGCAATACTTTGTCATTTCCAGTGATGTGAGTAGTATTTTTGCCTTGCCCCTCCAAACTACCCCATCTGCTTCAACTGCAATGGCAGCAGGAGGCATCAGCACCAGCGTCAGGTCTGCAGTGACCATGGTCATCCATCCTAAAGGTGGGTAGCATAGCTCATTAAAGGAAAACAGACCACAAAAAAGTTTTGGGAGCAAAGTGATATACAGTGATAAACAGCATAGACAGTGAGGATAATACATGAGCCTCAGAATGTTGAGTCAAATCCAGTATGATACTACTAGATCCATAAGTATTGAAGTTTCCACCTCAGCAAGAGCTCTAAGGGTTTTAATGACCTTGTGCATGCGTGGGAGACTGAGACACAGGAGGGTAAGAAAAGGTCAGAAAGTGAGTACGAGGGAGGCTATGTACCTCCAGCTGCACACATCTGAGCTGCTGTGTCAAAAAGGCAATTCTTTCTGTCTTATGAGACATTTCCTAGACACTCATCTGGCTCCTATCATCGGCAGCGCTTTCCATCCCCTTCGATGACCCTGATCGACTATCAGTTTTTATGTGTTTTGCTTCTTTCTGGTCAATCCTGACATGCCTAAACATGAAACATACGCCTCGCCATGTTTTCACTAAGCTGCCGAACCAAACACTTGAAGCTGATCTGCAGTGGCTCCTCCACCACCTTCAGTGATCTGCTTGGAGTTTATTAATCATAACATAGTTTCATAGTGTCTGAAGGAAAATGACATTGACACAGCAATCACAATGATGGCCATATGGTTTTGAGATATGTTTTGAGAAGTAATGAAAAACTACTTCACTTAAAACTCTTGGGAACATACAGTAGAATCCAAAATTCTGAGACCACATTGAATTTTTTTCCTTTAAACCAGGAAATAAACATCAGACAATTTTAGAATTTTGAACAAACTCAAGCAAAGAAAAGTTATGATGAGTAAAATGAAGAGGCATAAAAACAGTAAAGATTCTGCACAGTTTTTAGGTCACTAATTAAATTTAGGCAAATTTGTTAAGGCCTTTGTACATGAAAGTCAGATTTCTTTTTCTTATTATTATTTCTTATCTCCACTGAAGCACGTGTTCAGACAACTCTCATGTGGATTTCATCTACTCATCAAAGGCTTTTGCACAAACTTGTAGAGTCCCTGCCCGCTCTGGTGCACCCTTTCATTAAAGCAAAAAGTGGAAAACACAAAACACTAAACAAATTCTGAAATTTATCTTAAAACTGTAAAGATTCTAAATTTAAAGAACATTTTAAATTGTATTAGAATTGGAAAAGAAGACCAAATAAAGCATTGTCTCAAACATTTGGGCCCCACTCTATATGAAGACCATTGAGATCTGAGCTCTGAGCTCTGGCTTCTGATCCTTGTAAATAGAACCAAGAACTGTCGACAAAAATAATGGTGACACTTTATTTTGAGTGGTCCTTCTTAGATATAATAAACACTCAATGGACTTTCACTAACATGTCCAAAAAATATGAGGGAAAGGATTAGGTTTTGGGTTAAGGTTAAGGTTAAAATTAGGGCCAGGGTGAGGGTTAGGTTTAGAGCAAGGTTGGGTAATGTTAGGTTTTGCATAATGGAAGTAACATATTAACAACACATCTACTTAATGTAAGTAGTGTATCAACAGTAAATCTACAAGATGGTTCAGTGTATTCAGATGTTCCACTACTGCTACCTCACTGATATGTTGTTAATGTGTTATTGATAATCTGTTAAGAGTTTATTAATCATCTACAAAAGACCACTCCAAAGTGTTACCAAAATAATTAACAGTAATGTTAACCAAATGGCCTTAACCTGCAGAGCGTGGCTTCATGTCAGTGAACCATTATCAATCACTCCATCTGAAACGTTAATATTGTGTGTTGTCTAGTCTGACCGAAATGAACACGGCTGTCTTTGTGCTTGAATATTGATTGATGGGAGATGTTTCCACCTAGACAGATGAAGTGCATGGCAGCTTTCCACTAACTGAGATATTGTTACTGACTAATTCATGGGAATTTTGTGTGAAGTATCTTTCAGTATCTTTTCATTTGGCAGCCTGTGTTTCACAGTATAACAAACCACTGTATCAATTACATTCTGGTTCATA